CACGTATTTATCACTTAATTCACGTAATAAGTTTTATTTTTCTAAACTAGTTTATCACCCTTAAATGCCCGCACATCAACTAAAATGCGTTCTTAGCGAATCAACTTCCAAACATCCCCTCTTAGCTTTTAAACACGCCTCAAAAGTAGTTTTGAAGCAGTTCTAAGCTTGGATAAAGTGTGAGGGAAAGGTCTAGGTAATAACATTTTTGTGCTCTCTTATTTGTTTCCTAAGGTAACTTGATCCGATTAAGATATACGAACTTTTAACATTTTCTTCTATAATTGGAGAATGGATGGAGATATCGAGATGCTGTTTTCACTAATATTTAGCAAATTTTATGGTGATTAAGGGTTTGTGAAGTAAATAGTACCGTTCCATGTAACTTTCTTTCAAAAATCACAAAAATATGTAACCGCTGTAGATAACGCCCTCTAGCTTATTTGTTTTAAACCAAGCAGTCTTACTGAACATATCTTTTAAAAGAGAATGAAATGCTTTTTCAAACAAGACCAAACATATTCAAATCGGTTGAATGGTCCAGGAGATACACTGTTGGACATAATTCACGAGCACACCCTATATAATCTGAACGCGTGAAGATAAATCCATGATATTTGCGGAGCACAAAGGTTTACTGTAGACGAGTTTATTCATCGAGTTTCGAGTTGTTCCGTCGCGGCATTGTTGACTAAGCTGCTCTTCCAAGTGGAACATTCCGTCGCTATGGAGACCGAAGTGGATGGAAAATACCGGTCGTTTTTAGTGTGGTGTGAGGAACCACATTGTTATCGTACTCTGTGCGCAATGGATGGGCGATCGCATTAGTTAAGCGAGTTTGAGCGAGGAATGTTTGAGGGTATGCACATTGAGGGTGTATCGTTCCGTGAAATTGCGCGTCGTCTCGACCGGTCGTTATCGGCAGTGCTACGGGCATGGCGAAAATGGTCTGAGGTAGGACATAGGTACCTTCAGCCGCGGCCGGGAAGGCCCTGCGTGACCCCAGCACACGAGGATCGCGCTCTTGTGCTCAGCGCTTTAGCGTCGTGTTTTCCTCCTCAAGGCAACTTGGAGCTGTTTGGCCACCGTCAGGGGAAGGCGCACTCACTACGCGAACTGTACGGCGGTGTTTGGTAGATAGTGGACTGCGCGTGCGTCGTGCGAAACAGCGGATTCCAGTAACATCCGAGCACCGCAGCATACGTCACGAGTGGGTCAACGCTAGGCATTAGTGTGTTGCCGAGTTGAGGGACATTTTGTTTTCCGACGAATCAAGAACCAATTGAGCACCGGTGATGCGCGAATTTTAGTTCGTCGGAGCCGTGGTGATCGTCTACTCGAGCGGTGCGTGCAAAAATGCCCTATCCACCGACAACCGAGCATTATGGTTTGGGGTGCTATTACACATGGTGGACGTACACGTCTGCTGCGTGTATAGCAGACCATGACGGGTCAACGATACGTAGATGAGGTGCTACGGTCCGTTGTGCTTCCCTACGTTCGGCGGCTCCCAGGTCTGCTATACATGCATGACAACGTACGACAGCACATCGGGCGTGTTGTACAGACCTTTGTGGAAGAGCACCGTATACGAATGCTTCCATGGCTAGCTCGGTTTCCGCATCTAAATCCGATCAAACATGTTTGGGAAATTACTGGTCGGAGACTTCTACGTTATCCGGCTTCCTCGGCTAATGTTGAGGAGCTATGGAGGCGAGTTGAGGTGGCACGATTGGCCATCCCTCTTGCTACAATACAGTGACTTATAGACTCCATGCCACGTCGTGTAGCGATGGTACGCGAAGCTCACGGAGGATACTCTATTGAGGAAACATCTATACGCTATTGATGTTTCTCCTCCCAGCAGAGTTGTGCCACTCTCCATGTAAGAGTAAGTTACACTACTTTAGTTCTACTTCCATACCAAATTTTATTGCGCTAGACACACGCGTTCAGATTATACAGGTGTGCTCGTGAATTATTTCCAACAGTGTATTAAAATGTAAACATTTGAAAACGCGTTAGCCTCCCCCTCCCTTATTATGACAGATATGAGAAATATTGCAAAACAAAAGCGATGCGGTATTATTCAAGCTACTAAATGATGTTGTCAAAGTTATAGCTCATTGTCTAACTTTCTGAGATAGCGGGAATTTTATGTTTCTCTATGTCAGTTACGCCCCCTAGCGGTCGAATTACGAACTTCAAAATAATTTCCAGCTATTTCTCTTGCCCGCGTTGCTTATAATGATTTTTTTCCCAAGCCTATAGGCCTTACCGTTGTCGAGATCTTCTGGATTTTTTTTGTTGAGAATTTTTAAATGGTATTCTAAGAATTAAGAACTAAAGACAATGTATCGAAGCGCGTAGGAAAATGTTTAAAAATTCATAAATCTTATTTGTTCTTGCTACATTATAAACGTAATTGTTTCTGAAGAAGTTTAATTTTTTTTCAAAAGATGTTTTGCCGTGGTACTGGCAAAACCTCACAGTAAAATTTTTTAATTTTTTTGGATTATTTTACTTTTATCCACAGATTCAGATTTTACAATAAAATATATAGGTAGGTGCCATTTAAAAAATTGGCAGTGACCTTCATATAACCTTGAAAATAAGGTCAAGATCAAAAAATGTTATCGTCATATGGTTTCCCCCTTCGCACAGAACAACTTTCATTTGGTTCATTTTGATGTAAAATGAACCGTTTTCGAGATAATCGCTTGTCTCAAGTTAAATGGACCAGCCTGTATCTTATTGTTTTTCTTTGAAATTACTACCATAATTAACTCCTCGTTTTTTATCTCTTTTTCCTTTATTTGCATATAAGATTTGCAGCTCTTTGGTGTATTTTTCCCAGGTTTTCCTTTGTATAGACTTGATTATAAAGAGGTAATGTCGTCAAACCTGTGGGAAAATTCTTGATAATTACAGAAACATATGAAATAAAACAACTTATAAAAAAGAAGTATTATAAATAATAATGTTTATTTCTATTCCAATAAATTCTTTCAAAATGATAATAATAAAATGATAATCACAAAAAAAGATTTAAAACATAAATTTGTTAAAAATAACAGCGTTAATAATAGTGAGTCCAACTGTTAATAAAGACGCCCCTAAAGTTCTAGATGAAGAGCTTTTCTCTTTTCTATCGTCGGGGATTTCGTTTTCTTTGCTCCTTTTAATATCTTCAAGTGATATTTCGATGACTTTATTAATAGTTCTTAATAAAGGATAATTTTCAAACATTTCACCTTCCATGGACGAACAATCACCCCTAAAATCATCAGTATCCATTGACCAAACCATACAACCTCCAAGATTTTTCTCCATCGCAAATTTAACTTTTTCCGAAATCGATCTAGGATTATCATAAACTATCACTTTATCACCGCCAATCGCAAAAGGTGTCCTTGAAACATCATCCCAATGTATTGTCCAAAAATCTGAGTTATTTTTTAATTCTAAGCAAATCTAAAAAAAAATAATTAAAAAGATAAAATTGGGGAAAAGAAGTTAATTTACTTCATTGTATCCCATAAAACCATTTTCCCTTGTGAATGGTCCCGGAAATCCAGCCGCTTCTGATTCAACTCCTAGTCTTGGTTTTTCTTTAGTGAAAACGTTTTCTTCCTTAGTTGTAAAAGTTCGGCCATAAAGTGGTAAACCCATAACTAATTTACTGGGTTCTGCTCCTAATTGTAACATATAATTGATGGTGTATTCCTGAAATAATTTATATGGATAAAATATATCTAATTGTAAGCAAAAAAAATTTTTTTACTTACAACTGTTAAAGCATCTTGTCCTTTTAACGGAGCATTCGGCCCTGTTTTTTTATCCCAATCACCGTGATAATCATAACACATCATGTGTATAAAATCTAAATAAACACTAAGCCCAGCGACGTCATAAGCAATATCTATAGTATCTTTCCCTGCTCCTAAAGCAGCTGTTAAAAGATAATTGTTTTTAGTAAAAGCAGCTCGAAGTTCTTTGACGAGTAGAAGAAAATTTGCTTTATCGTGAGGTGCCCCGCCGCGTTTTCCTGGAAATTCCCAATCAAGATCTAATCCATCAAAATTATGTTTTCTAAAAGAAAAATAATAAATAAAAAATATTTAGATTAATTTATGTATTACTTGATAAATTCTAAGACACTTCGGACGAATCTACTTCTCCTTTGTGGATCTGAAGCCATTATGGAGTAATTTGTTGAGCCTTGGGTCCATCCTCCAATGGCGATTGAAACTTTTAAATGTGGATATCGATCTTTTAATCGTACGAAACGATTGAATCCGCCTTTTCCATAATTTTCTGTGAGATCTTGATAAGGATCTAAAAGAGAACCCATTTAATTCAAAATCCTTAAAATAATTAAGATTTGGTTTACTTACCTAATGATTTAATGCTATCGGTCTCTATGTTTAATCCAGCAAATGAGTAAATTAGATGAGTGCATAATGTGGGATCGATGTGTTCGACGTCGAATAAACCTGATCCCGGTCTGTAAACGGCCCACGTTCCAACGTAACAAACTACGACTTTACCATGAGTGGGTCCTGAAAAAAATATTGTTGGAAAGTTATCCAATTAGAGTATTGTTAAAAAAAGTTTTGATAAAAATGAGTAGGTCGACTTAACATTGATTAAAAATTAATAGGGAGTTTTATGAGGAAACGAAGATATGAGCGCTGTCATAAAATTTATGACAATTTTCGTTTTTATAATACATAGGGGAACGTGGTCTACATATAATGGGACATGGTATACAGCGGGACAAATAGATTTACCGCCACTGTATGAATAGCAGATTTATTATTCGTTCGTTGCGGGTTTATTTTATGTAGTCGCAACTTAATATTCATAGTTCCTTTTTATCGACACAGCAATATGGCGTACAAGTACTAACTTGGTGATTTGCTTTGTGATGTTTTTTGTAATACACTGGTAAATGTTTTAGGTAATTGTTTTAACCATTTTAAAAATTAAAATAAAGACTTATAAAACTGTCTGTGATTTGGGATATTTTGTGTTAATGGTATGTGCATATTATATTTTTAAATTTATTGCATGTTTTTGAAATAGAAGCGGATTTTAAGAAAGTTGGAGTTGGTACATGTTGGGACATGTATTTGTGGTACATAATGGGACGCGTCCCAATATATACCACGTCAAAAGAAATGTCGACTACTATAGAGAACCAAAAAGTCTAACCCTAAAATAGTTCCTTTAGATGCCAAAACAAAGTAGAAAAGAGCGAGAATACAGAATATAGACAAAAAATGAAAACAGCAGTGGAAAGTATTGCTAGCAGTGGGATTTCTATACGGAGCAGCAGCTGAACAATATTCACTCAGTAAATCTGCCTTGCAACAAATGTGGTCCAAGTATAAACAAATAAAGACGATGAAAAAAACTCTTTTTGTTTTGAGAAAAAACATGGATTTTCTGAAATTTTTACTGATGAAGAAAAGAAAGTACATGTGTTTCGGTTTGACTATCAAAGCCACTTGCGAACTAGCATTTCGATTTGCCACTGCCAACAATAAGACCATTCCTGCATCTTAGAATACAAAAAAATCAGCAGGCGTTGAGTGGATTAGATTATTTCGGAAGAGGCAGGCTCATTTGAGTTTAAGGTCTCCAGAACCGACTAGCTTAAGCCGCGCTACTAGTTTCAATAGGCACAATGTATCAACATTTTTTGACAACCTTGAAAAGGTAATGTCGAAACATAATTTCACAATTAATCAAATATATGTATAATTGTGACGAGACAAGTGTGACTACCGTCCACAAACCACCAAAGAAAATTGTTCCCCCTGGATCCAGAGGAGCTGCTCACAAGAGTGGATGGATGACAGCTACAAATTTTAAATTGTATTTGAAACATATAGTAAATGTTACTAGATGCAATGAAGATAACAAAGTTCTGTTGATTTTAAATTTTGCAAAGAAAATGGCATGGAACTGGTGACATTGCCTCCACACTGCAGCCACAAACTACAGCCATTAGACGTAAGCTGCTATAGTCCATTAAAAACTTATTGCAATAAAGCTTCCGATCAGTGAATGTTCAATCACTCGGAAACTCCGCTTAATATGTATAACATTGCCGAAATGTGAGATTGTCGTTTCCATCCGCTTTCACGCCATATAATATTATAAAGGGATTCGAAAGGACAGGAATAGTTCCATTGAACAGATTTATTTTTGTTTATTTGTTTATTCCGAATACGTTCTTATGTCGCAGACAGACCTGTAAAATACGAGAAAGTATCAGATGCACCAGAAACACAACCTAAAGAATCCAATTTTGAAATAGAAGAATACGTTCAAGATCCACAACCTAGTACCAATGGAACTGATATGCATTCCAAAATATCCGGTGATGAATTATTAGTTACCATAATTCAACATTCAGACTCTTTCATTTCTCCACAGATGGTTAGACCACACATGAAAGTTCAGGGTAGAAAGAAAACTACAAGAGGAAGAACGAAAAAGATGTCGACGGTCTCACTGCTACTCCAAATCTTGAGGAACAAAAAGAAAAAGAATTGAAAAAGGAATTATTACAGGAAATTGAAAGGGCTCGAAACAAAAAGAATAGAAAGGTACAAAGTGTCAAAAGAAAAGTTTTTGAATCGTCAAGCGACAGTGTGACTGATGAAGAGGTAGTATGTGACGATAAATCTAGTGAGAGCAGTTCCCTTGATAAAGAAGAAATGACAGAAACAGATCTACAAGTTACAGATTTGGTGATAAGTCAATACGTTCTTAAAAAAAAGTATCAGACATTACGTAGGAGAAATAGAAAAGATAGAATGTGGACAGGTTTATGTTAATTTTTTAAGATTTGAGAATGGCAAGGTTTTCTTTCTCGACAAAAAAGATGAAGTTGTCTTGGAAAAAGAAGAATCACTCGGCTTTAGTCATCTTAAGAGACGTGCGGCTAAATCAGAATGTTTCTAGTGCTCGGTCTAGTGTTAGTTCTAGTTTTATACTAACACAAGACCTAGAATTATTTGGGTTTAGCCGTCTTGAGAGACGTGCGGATAAATCCGAATGTCTAAGAAATCATTATGTTGCATATTCTTATTGAACTAAAACTAGAACTAACACTAGAACTAACACAAGACCTAGAACTAGACTCATTCGGGTTTAGCCGTCTTGAGAGACGTGCGGCTAAATCCGAATGCTTCTAGTACGGTTAGTACTAGTTTTATACTAGCACTATCACTAGAACTAACACAAGACCTAGAACCAGAACTGCATTTATATATTGTGACTTATATGAAATTCCGTAGAAAATTCCGAAATTATGTAGTTTGTAAATGTTATTAGATTTGAGAAATTAATCAACTTCATTTTATATTTTTAACAATTGTTTAATATAAATTAAATATGTTATAAAATCGAGCGCGCCCGCTCGGAGCTTAAAAAAGAATATTTACAGATTAAAAAAATTGCTGGGATTTTAATTCCTTCTTGTATTTAACATATTTATAAGATTTTATCAATTCTTTCATGATGCATAACAAAGTTTGAAAAATAATTAATAATTACACTGATCGATAAAGTTCTTGCCACACGGATTCTGAATTTTTACTTTGCTACATTACTACAACCTCATTACAAAACATAAATTATTTTGATTCTGTCACCCACAGATTTATTGTGACAGTAATTTATGATTTTAACGTATTTTCTGCTAATACCACTGTACGTATGGTCGAATTGCATCAAGATTTCATTTAAAACAGTGTTAAATTGTGAGTTTAGTTTCTCAACATGCGAAGGAAGTGTATCAATCACCCTAACAGTTTTCGTAACGTTATCGTGATTATTTTGGCTTCTCTGTAGCTCATCAAGATAAGGATTGAACACCTGATGTATACTGTACGGCATGCGTAAAGAATCTTGCCCATGATTTGGGCGAGGCCTGTAGACTTATCTGATTGCTACTTTTGCCAGACTAATATAAATGGGATAAATATGGCGTCAAAATATACTGTGAAGTATGCAAATATACGTTCTGCAATACTCCCTGATAATGCTGATTTACCTATAATTGCAGTGCCAAATCAGACAAATGACGCTGATAATGATGCCATCGATTTACCTTCATGTAGTGCAATTGTAGATAACTCAAGCTGATCTTAACAATTTGGTTTGCAACTTAAAATTGTCAAAAAAGCAGTCTAAACTATTAGGATCTAGATTGAATGAATGGAATTTGCTTCATCCAGATACTAAGGTGTTTGTTTTCGTAACCGTGATGAAGAACTAAAAAAATACTTTTCACAAGAAGAAAATAATTTATTCCAATGATATTAGTTCGGTCATGAGCTTGATAGATATTAAATTTGAACCACAACTAATTCAAAAGCTGTTTCGGTAGCACAAGCTTCCGATATGAAAGAAACTTACGAAAACATAAAATTGGTGCTAGAAAAAATCCAGTTGGGCGTTATACTACCCAACAAAATAATTTTTTTTCATTTTTTTTTATTGGCTTAAATGATGCTTATAATACTTAAGAATCATATCCAAAAGCAATTTTGAATGACAAGCGACTGAAAATACATTTTTTTTAATAAATACTTGTTTTACGTATGAAACAAACCGGCCGCTCTGNTATAATTAAAAAAAGAATATTTACAGATTAAAAAATTGCTGGGATTTTAATTCCTTGTTGTATTTAACATAATTATAAGATTTTATTATCAATTCTTTCATGATGCATAACAAAGTTTGAAAAATAATTAATAATTACACTGATCGATAAAGTTCTTGCCACACGGATTCTGAATTTTTACTTTGCTACATTACTACAACCTCATTACAAAACATAAATTATTTTGATTCTGTCACCCACAGATTTATTGTGACAGTAATTTATGATTTTAACGTATTTTCTGCTAATACCACTGTACGTATGGTCGAATTGCATCAAGATTTCATTTAAAACAGTGTTAAATTGTGAGTTTAGTTTCTCAACATGCGAAGGAAGTGTATCAATCACCCTAACAGTTTTCGTAACGTTATCGTGATTATTTTGGCTTCTCTGTAGCTCATCAAGATAAGGATTGAACACCTGATGTATACTGTACGGCATGCGTAAAGAATCTTGCAGGTTGGGCAAAAGGAACGCGAAAACCCATGATTTGGGCGAGTTATCTGATTGCTACTTTTGCCAGACTAATATAAATGGGATAAATATGGCGTCAAAATATACTGTGAAATATGCAAATCTACGTTCTGCAACACTCCCTCATAGTGCTAATTTACCTATAATTGCAGTGCCATCGATTTACCTTCATGTAGTGTAATTGTAGATAACTCAAGCAGATCTTAACAATTTGGTTGACAACTTAAAATTGTCAAAAAAGCAGTCTGAACTATTAGGATCTAGATTGAATGAATGGAATTTGCGTCATCCAGATACTAAGGTGTTCGTTTTAGTAACCGTGATGAAGAACTAAAAATTTGAACCACAAGATTGGCGATTCTTTATAGACTTATCAAAAACTAGTTTAAAAGCTGTATGGTATTA